ACATGAGCATTGGAGCACGTAAGTCAGCTAGATTCATGAGTTCAACTTGCTGCAGTGGCTGGTAGGGAATGGGGCCAAGGGATCCTGGCACTGGCCCTGACATACTCCCCAATAAGAATCCCTAGACCACAATTTTCTAGATTCTAGCAGTTTTTGTCACCCACCCTAAACCCTAAAAGCCTCCAAATGCTCAGCACCTTTGACAAAGCCAGCTGCGATGAGGAGGTCTTCAGCACCGGGGCAGCTCAATGCTTTGCCTTAAGGTTTAGGGTTTAAGTTGTTTCAGGCGCTTCTTTTACACCTGCCAACCCAGGGGTAAAGGGCCACAGGCCCAGGCGGGTTCACGCCTGACTAGCCCAACGGAAAAGCCCAAAGGGAAATACAGCCCACCATCATTCAGCCCTCTATGAGATGCAATGCTCGGAAAGCTTCGTAAAATTTCGTAGACAGTGTGACCATGCAAGGCAACCAACTGCTCCTTGAAAAGATCCGCCTTTAGGGCTTAGGGTTTAGGGACTGATGCGGTGGAAAATACAAATCCTACAGAACCCTAGGCACCTTATACCTTGGGGAAGTATGGTGTTGTCGCAGATCAAGCTCATGCAAGATCTTTAATATCAGCACTATGAATGCCTACAATGTCAGCAATTACTTACTACTCCATCCACTGAACTTCTGCCACTACTAGCATAAGTTCCATAGACCTGTCGACTATAACTGTGATTGTTATTGTTATTCCAATTGATTGCTACTTATTGTCATTTAGTGTTCCTGTAGGCAGGGCCCTAAACCCTGAACCCTGAACTGCCAAGAGCACGGCTGATCTTTGCGTTTGCAAGCTTCACCCTCCGGAACTTCTCCTGCACTTCACTATACAAGGGCCCATCATATTCTATAGGGTTTATACAGGTTATACAGGGATTGAGTAGGTTATTACCACAAGGATGGAGAATCAGCTAGAAAAGCACATGACAAATCATATCGAACTGTTGAGTTAGGAAAGCTTCAAACAGGAGGCAAGCCAGCAGCGAAGAACAAGAGAATTTCGAAAACCCCAACACCCGTAGGGCTTAGGGTTTAGGGGGACACTATAACTTGCAAACGACATACTAGCCCTAACTGTGCGATTGGGTTGCCCCTACACCCTAAACCCCAAACCCTGAGCCCTGAACCCTAAACCCAGAACCCTCAACCCTAAACCCTAAACCTTGGGTACTGCCCCCGATCAGTAACAGTTGGGTAATAGTTATAATATGGTTATAGAGCCCTTAATAGGACCCCCAGTATAGACTGTTACTGGGGGGGAGCAGTACCCAACCTAAACCCCAAACCGTAAACCCCTAAACCCTAACCCCTAAATCCCTAAACCTAGCCGGTCCTCGGCCGGATTTTTCACCTCAGGTCAAAGGCACCTAGCTCGCTCGCAACTGAAGCGTGTTGTGAGTCTGGTAGGTATACTGCAAATTAGGGTCTAGGTTTAGGGGTTTAGGGTTTAAGGGTTTAGGGTTTTAGGGTTTAGGGTTTCAGGGTTTAGGATCAGGGGACTTAGTAAGTAGATTAATAACGGTGATAGATAAGTTTATTACATGGGTCGCAGGGGTGATTAACCTACTTGCTGAGTCCCCCTGACCCTCCAAGTACTGACTGCTATAACTGGAAGTATAAGGGGCTCTGCAAAACTATCTGGCTATAACTTAGGCTTTTCTCTACCTAATGCGCAAGTGCAGGCTTCAGGTCCGGAGTGCTAAAAAGGAATGGAGGAAAAGAACCCCATAGTAGTCCTTATCTAATCCCAAATAGTGACACCTATGATCCATTCTCCTGCTCCGTACTAAACACCAGTAGCGGATTGCTTTTTCGAAACTTAAACTCAAGTTGCCACAAAAGGAAGCCCTGCTATCTTATTCTATTTGCATATACCGTTTGTGGTAACTGAATTCAACTTCCTCAACGCACTTCATAACCCCTGATAGAGCTCCGGTTGCCATGTCACGCTCTTTTTTCCACTTGATGCTGGGGCTAACCAAGGACTTTATATGTATATGCTACCATCTCCTTTATATGTATATACATATATACATACATATATCACTACAAAACCCCTACATACCAACCTTATACTCCTTAGTTTGGGTTACCAGCTTAAGATCCTTAACAGAACCCTACTCCCCGAGAGCCCTAAACCTTCAGTTAGTTCAGCCGAGCTGCAAGGTTGTTGAGCAAGGTGGATAGTACGCTGATCGAACCCGCCTTGAATACGAGGGATATATACTAGGTAGGCTTAGGGTTTAGTTGGTTTTGGGTATCCTTTATAGGGGTTATAAACAGGACCTCTCGGGATATGTAGTGGTTTCCCATGTTCGAAGGGGATTGTATATGTGGATATATGGAGTCTAAGGGCTCAGGAAATGAGATTGGTTTTCCCCATCTAGGTTACGTTTAAGGGTTTCCCGCTTCTGGTTTAGATTAGGAATGATCATCTCTGATCTATACAAGTTGTACAAAACGACGTTTGAGCATGGTTTGGATACTATTCAACTTCAACAGGACCATCTTCATTCTTTGCTCTACTGTATATCAGTTAGAATGACGGGGGTAAAGTGACATTCAACAACTGTGCTGGGAAAGGAGAGCTTAGGTTACACACAGATACAAAATGTACTTTGGTAGTTTCCATAAATCAGGTCCCCAGAATGAACCCTAGTCATCCTTGTTATGGGCCCCCCCCCCCACAAAGGGACCCACAACTGCCGGAAAACCGAACCCCCATGAACCACCGCATAATCCCAGCTTACATGTGATTTTCCTTTTCCAATTCATTTTCCATTATTTGGGTCATGTACCCCCAAACCCCGTATATACCTATATAATATAATCCCAATATAATCCCATAAAACCCCGAAAGGGCCCCTCAACAGCCGCGGTGCTTCGGCAAGCGCCGCCAGGTTTGCTTGCAGTTTGGCCACGGCCAGTGCTGCAGGTTCAGCGGTGGCCTGTTCACTCAACAGCTTGGGATATTTTGGGTTATATAAAGGTTATGTTGGGATAATGGAAAAGGAAATGGAAACTACTAGTTAGGGTTGAGGGTTTAGGGTTCAGCATTGCGAAACATTATCAACATGAAATCTTGGCTAGCAGGGAATTAGGAGCCCGTGCTGTGCAAATGAAAGTGTTACCTTGTCATAAGTTGGTTTATGTGACTAGGTAGGGAACTAGGCTGGATCACAGGGATTATGGCTGGGTATAGATGAGGGCTACCTAGGAATCCTTCCCCCCTTTCCCTACTATCACCCGTAGGTAGCATAGGCTTGCAAGAACAGGGCTTTTTCAAGCCAGGACTAGAGGGCCTCGGAGTAAAAGGGGATTTTGAGGATGTTGTGAAAGTCCTCACTAAGGAATCGAAGCCCTCAACATGTTCTAACTTTTTACGAATAAAAATGTAACCCCTATAATACCCCCATAATTCCTATAGTTTCCATTTTCTTTTCCATTATCTCTATAAAACCCTTATATAATAATTAAACCTGTGCATTTTGTGAACCTGCTAAGGCTTCCTAAGCTGCAGGCAGGCCGCTGGAGTAGGCTCCATCGACATCGCCAAAGCAGCTGCAAGGTCCTGGGTTGCTGTTAAGGAACCAACACAGCGAAGGAAACCCCATTATTTACTATATATCCCTAGCATTCCATAATGAAACCCCATTATTTACTATATATCATAGTGAAACCCTATTATTTACTATATATCCCTAGTATTCCATAGTGGTAACTTAGTAACTAAGTCCCTTAATAGCAACCCAGGATCATCATCTTCAGCCATGGCAGAGCAAAGGCTGTGAATCAGGGCTTGTAGGTTCTTACGGAGTTGTTTAACAGAGGTCACCCTGAGCTGCTCTTCAGTTTGTCAAGGGCGGAGCTAGTTCATGCCTCTTTGGTTTGCCAATCCCTAAATTCACAGCTGGAACGGTCCAGGAAGAGTGGAAACATGCTGTGGGATGCTGTGAGACCTTGGGATTTCGCATTGCCACTTAGCTACATTCTGCAGGACCCCGTGTGGGCACGTGCTGCTGAGTATGCAGCTTGGTGTGAAGTCGTGTGAAGCATCTGGTGCAAACACGCCCTGAGCAGGGTGACAGCTACGTTGATTCGGATCGGACACTGCGCTACAGCTAATGGCCAAGGTGTTTCAGAAACACCACAGGCACGATCATAGGGAGCCAGACAAGCCCACGTGAGCTTAAAAGATCCCAAAACATTCTAAGATTGTTGCACCCTGCCTGTATACATCCTTACGTGCGTACGATGCTGCCACAGTCAGTCGGGGCTGAAATGTGAGATTCAAGATGTACAGCCCAGTCCCTATCCCTACACAACACACGCGGTTTACTGGGCTGATGTGAACGAATTTATTTTAAGTAACTGTATTGGGGAAACCATATTAACTCCTATATATACCCATTATAGTAATACTAACTTAGATTAAGTTCCTTAACAGCAAGCCAGTTTAAGGACCCCTGTTTTCATGCTCTGCCAGCTCGGTGGTCTAGGAACTCCAAGGTTTGGCTTCGTTCTGAAGGCTCTGTCCGGAGCCGTCTCGCCGCAGCCCAGCCCGCCAGAAGGAGGCCCAAGACTAAACAGCAGACCCCTGCAATCTCCTAGGTTGTTGTTAAGGATTATAGGGTATATATTGGGGTTATATAGGGATTATAGGATATATGTTGGGGTTATATAGGGATAATGGAAAAGAACATGGAAACTACTGGTGTTAGGGTTTAGGGGTTTAGGTGTTCTGGGTTGCTGTTAAGGAACTGAATTTAAGTTGCTATGTTTTCCCCCTGTATTGGGGAATCAAATGTATAAAATACAAAATGAACTGGAAATTGGGTAATATTGTGATTTCAGGAACTTGAATTCAGTTACTATATTCTGGGCAAACTATGTTGATTACTGTATATACCGAATATGGGAACTTAAATTACGTTCTTTAACAGCAGCCCAGTCTCCAGCGGTGAGTTCCGTGGCTTCAAGCCCAGGGCTTGGCAGAAGGGTGACCCGCTGAAGGCCAACACCAAGGCCACGCCAGTCAATGGCTGAAGAGTACCTGTTTCCCAAAATTAGGTTTAGGGTTTAGGTTTAGGGTTTAGGGTGTAGGGGTACCTTTTTAAAGAGTTATATAGGGGGTACATAAAGGTTATAAAGGGTTTAGGGATTCCCAAACTTAGGGGTCTCCTTTGTGGGGCCACTTATAGTAAGGACTGTTCCCTAAACCCTAAACCCTAAACTGTTGTATCCGGGGTCTACATTGGGGTCCCCCTATTTTGGGAGAATGCCACCTAGAAGAACGGCCACCAGTGGACTTCGGAGGCCAGCATTCACCCCCACTGTGGTGAACTGAAAGCCTGTAGTTATGCAGACACTGCCGATAAGCAGAGCCGCTGATGCTGGGTCTGCCCAAAGCTCTCTGCTCGTAATGGCCGACCAGGAGGCAAAGCCCTCTGTAAGCAGCGCATAGGGCAGGCAAAGCAAGGAGGTGACAAGAAGCTTCCAGACGGTGATTTCAAGAATGCCCACGCTACGCTGGCCCTCTTCACTCTTCAAAGCCAGGCAGCAGCTCCTCAGGGAAACTGTCATGAGAGCCTGACATGCTCGGCACAGCAGCGAGGCCACAATGGCCTCAACGTTGGTGCTGCCCTGGCCTGTTACCTTATTGTTGAGGCACTATTGAATAGGTTCAGCTTTGGTCTGCGTGTATGGGACTCAGGTATGCATACAGTAAGAATTCTACTTCAACAACAACCCAGCTACTTCAGCAATGCTGAAAAAAAGGCTTCCGAGGGCCGTCAGGAGAACTGCTGGAAGATCGCTGCAAAGAGGAAGTCTCCTCTCTTCCGCTTGCAGGAAGCGGGCAAAGATCCAAACAAAGATCAGCTCACAGGGGCCCAACATAGCAAAGGCCTTGTAGCTCAAGAAGTTCGCCCATGTGGACAGTGTGATCACAAGAAAAACAAAGATTCCGGGCGGCGCCGCCCATCTCAGCTTCACCAGGACTGGGACACTTGGACCTTCGCTGCCAGAGGCATTTCTGGAGCGGGCCGTCGCTAAGCGCAGGCCCGCCAAGAAAATGGTCGCAAAAATGGTGTCGATAAAGGAAACGGTGTTTTTGATCCCACCGTGACCTCGCTTGTAAAACGCCTTCAGCTCGGGATGTAAGATGGTTCCGAAACAAATGACCAAAACCACATACAGCGATGTCCGAAATGTATCGGCACTGCGTCCGCCAGATTCGTCGTAAGCCATGTTGCCCTACGTAACAGGAGGTGAGCACTACCTTATCCTGCCCAGGCAGAAGTGGTCATGCTGCGCAGCAGGGACTCTTTGCTGTACGAACTGATACCGTGCCAGGACACCTCTCCTAACTGGAGATTTCTGATGTGAATGAATGCACTATTGTCAAAGGTATACATCATAATCTACTGTGTTTATTACTACTATTCGTACTATTATTACTACTACGATTATTATCTCCATCCGGGCGGACACTTTTGGCCTCGCCCAAGCAAGAGTCGAGTCGCTCACTGCACACCTCCAAGCCCTGTGCTCGCAATTTCGCTTTGTTGCGAGCAGGGATCTCGCTGGCGTCCGGGTAGGTACTGACCTCAGAAATCTTGGGGTTTCCCAAAATTAGGAGTACCCTTTTTGGGGGTCCGAGCAATAAGGACTGTAGTATTGGGGGGTCTATAGTGGGGTACCCTTGTTTAAAGAAACCACCATTTCGGATCTCGAATTTGCACATGCTTAGCCGGGTTCGCAACAGTATTCCACAATGAGGGAATATATAAGTAGGGCTTATATGGGGAAAACCCTAAAAGATTGTATTCCCCTGTACTATTCCCTGCTAACCACTAGCAAGCCCTAAACCATAAACCCATAGGAGCTACAGTCAATATTTCCTAGATAATTTAATGGACATGGGATCCTCATTAGGGACTCTATTAGGGACCATACTAAACTACAAGAGGGACCCTAATGTCCACTGCGGAGGCTATCTTTCGAGAGCTAATCTTGACAGTAAGTCTAAACTCCTAATATCCCCCTGAATAACTCCTGTATACTCCTCTTTGTAACCCACCTTTAAGGAGTTCAGACCCT